CCTTTTTCTCTACCTTCATTTCTTTTCTTTTTTTAAAAAAATATATATTTTATTGATTTTAGAGAGGAAGGAAGAGAAAGAGAGAGAGAAAGAAAGAAACATCAATGATGAGAGAGAACCACTGACTGCCTCCTGCATGCCCTTACTGAGGTTTGAGCTCACAACTTAGGCATGTGCCCTTGGCCAGAATCAAACCTGGGACCCTTCAGTCTACAGGCCCACGCTCTATCCATTGAGCCCAACCAGCTAGGTCTCTAGCTTCATTTCTTTTGATTACACAACTCCAATTTCTGCCACTGTATCTGTAACCTTCCCTGGTCTGTCTCAGCATTCATGATAGCATTCATGATCTATCCTAAAGATCCTTAATTTATTTCCATCTGCAATGACCCTTTTCTGAAGTAAGGCTACATTCACAAGTCTGGGTATTAGGACATGGACATGTTTGGGGGGCTATCATTCAACCACTCCATGGTACAACTGGGGGTATTTAATGTTACTGACCAGAATCATAGAGGAAAAGCAAGAGGCTGAGGAAATGTAACTGGAGTATGACAAAACTGATTCAGCAGTATAATTCCAGGTAGGAAGCATTGTCCTGATCACATGTGGCAGACACTGGGAATCCGGAATATGCATGGCCATCTATTAGGTGCTATACATTTAGTAGGTCAGCATAGCTTTTACTATCAGAAAGCTGACAGCCTCCAGAAAACCATCTCAGGCAATGCCATGGTTTACTCAAAGCATGCCCTTCTCCAAAGTTCATTCTTTTGTATTTCAGTTTCCCTTTTGAAAATTGTGAATGTCAACTATTTCCCTCCCTGAAAACTATAATAATTAAACTAGTGAGCCTTCTTGTGAGCTCAAATCCATCCCACGCTTCTTGAAGTTTTCCTTTACAGAAGCACACCAAAGCTCTGAGAGTTCTTTCAGTCGCCTGGCATAAAACATTGCAGCAGAAATAATTAGTCTTTGATTTTTTAAGTCAACAGCATTAATATTTCAACCTAAACCACCTTAATGGCAAATAATCTATAGTGATATTACTTATAACAAGATCGGAGGTAACAGATATCTGGCTTAGAAACGTATAACAAGATTTCTTGAGTACAAAACAAGCACCACATAAATTCACTGAGATTCACTTATTTCAAAATCTGCTCTGCAAAATTTCATGGATTTGAAGCTAACTAACCTTGTGGGTTTTTTTTGTTTTGTTTTGTTTTTTAAAGAAACAATAACAATGTATTAGTACTAGAGGAATGCACTTAGACAATATCTACAAGAAAGAGAAATGTAGTGACAAATGAGGAGAACAGAAAAATTACAGATCCTGTGGATATATTTAGTAAAATCATTTTTAAAACTAATTAATGCTTGCTTTACTTATCTCTTGGGGCTACTGTGTAAAAAAAAAAAAAAAAGACAATGTATGAAAAAAGGTTTGTTTTCAATAAGATGCCATATGTGAAGTATTCATAGAGTTTTTACATTACTAGAAAAAAAATGTATTTTTGTGACTCTTTGACTTTTAAAAGGATTTTTTGGGGAGTTGACAACAGTTCCTGGAGCATTATATGGGTGTTCTATTTCTGTGGGAAAGTGTTTCTTCACATTTCTTCTTGTTATCCAACTTCCACACACACAAACCCACACAGATATAACTCCCATGCTGATTTTAAGGAGATGTTTTGTGATTACTATTCTCAGAATAAAAACAAGAAAAAATGGGGATGGAGTTACTGGTGAAAGAAGGCAGAAATGGAGTTAATCACAGTGTGATAAATACACGGAAAGTGGAAAGTATATGTTAGTTTTTAACCAACCAGAATGGGAGGTAACAATATCTTGCTTAGAGAAACATATGAGAAAGAAGTCAATTTTTAGAAATGTTTAGAGAATATTAGATATATAGCCAATTCAAATGCTGAGTTAGGCTGAGACAGGTCCAAAGAATTTTCTAATGCTCATATTTTAAAAACATAAATAAATATTGTTACAAAAATAACAAGTTAATAAATAAAAATAGGAACTCATCTTGAGCACCACCATCTTAAAAGAAGAACTATAGGACTCTCTTTCACGGCCCGCGTAGAAAGAGTTCCAATTCAGGGTTCAGGTTCTGGAGAAGGGCCGCACACAAATGAAAAGAGACTTGAAGAAATTCAATTTGGCGATTTGGGGGGCCAGGCGGTAGTCCAACTCTAGTGGGAGAACTACAACTGCTCTGGCCCTGCCATCCTCTTTTATTGAGGCTTAGCCCTTAGGCAGGAAATAACAGCTGCTTCAAACTAACATAATCTCAACTAAAGGTTGAGCAATTAAGGTTGTTGACCAGCCTTCCTAGCTTCCTATCAACATCTCTTTCTCAGTAAAACTGACTTGGTTTCCAGCAAAGAACCTTTTCCTTTAATTTTCTTTCTTTCCATTCCTATAATTTTATATCATACACAAGCATTTTCACTATGATTATTTCATTTAACAATATATGTATATGTTTCCCTTTATCTATGTAAGGCTTTATCTTAACACGTTAAAAGCATCATAACATTTAATCAAGTTGACACGATAAAATTTACTTAACTATAATTATATACTGTAAAACTTAATGGAAATATAAGTAGCTTCTAGTTGATCAATGAGTCATAAACCAAAATATTTGGTTGAAAGAAAGCTTTAGAGTCCAGGATCAAAAAACAATATATATTTTTTTAAACTTAGGACTAAAGTTATTAGTAAATTCTGGCCTCATTTATGGCATAACTTTTCTCTTGGATATATTAAATATACATTTGTTATTTGTTCATTCATTCTGTACATTTTTAGATTTTATTCTGGTATTATTAAGTAGAAAAATAATTATGAAAAAATTTAAAAGTCCATGCTGATCAAGAATAAAATTTTCAATTGAGCAGAGAGAAAAAATAATAACTAAACAGATGTCATTATAATTTGGGATAGAGCTGCAATAAAATATGTTTTGTGATTAAGTATGATAAAATGATGAGGATGAACTTTAGATGAAGTATTAATAAGGAGACATTTAAGTTTTTCCTTTTTCTAAGAGCACACTCCTACCTTCCACATCTACCTTTTTCATTTAAAAACTATATATGTCCTCTGTGTTTTGTTCCCTTTTGCTGTGTGGAAGAAGAGATAGGAATCAATAGCCCAATCAGGACTGTTATTCAGAATTCCAAAGTGAATCAATGTTGATGATTATAGATCCGTAGCAGAATATTTTAGGAAGAGAATGAGTAATCCCAAAGCACCAATGAGGACTAAGAGAAAAGCTTTTCTCTTTTGTTATGTTTTCTCAGAAGCTGTTTCTTCAGAGCCACCAGCTACAGATGATATGAATGCAGGATGACTTATTCTTTGGATATCACTATCAAACACCATACCTGTCTGAATCTAAAACTGCTTGAGGTACAGAGTAAGTGATGAGATTATTAAGTGCCATATCTAAATGGATCTTAATGCCAAAATTGGAATTAGATATTCCAGTCTTTGATGACTTATAAGTGCCTATTCCCATCATGAGTTTCAAATCAAAGTAATTTCATTTCCTATTTTGATAGAGCCATTACTGTAAAATTAAGTTGCATTAGGTTTTTAACTCCCTGAGTCCAACTTTCAGTTTGCATCCTACAACCTAACACTAACCTTTATTGTTTTTGCCTCTGTAGACTTTAGGTTGTTATGATATGTGTATTTTTTTTTTTAAATTAAGACTAACAATCTAACCTCTATTTGGTTACTTTAGCTTCAGTTTTCTGGCTGACGGAGAGTGACAGTGTGTCACTGTGGTATTTGACAATGAATAGAAACTGTAACAAAATAAAATAACTTCACAGCATGAAAAAAAAGAAGGGAGAGCTTGTGGTGTAATGGTAAGTGTCATAGATCCACTTATAACCTTAGAGTCACTTATAACCGCTAGATATAAAAATAATAATCATTAACACACACAACAAAATATTTGGACTAAATAAAGGCTCTGCCATCCCCTTGATGCCTTCTCTGTGCCCTGGTCAGGACAGCCTCCTTTCTAAGAATGCAGCCCACATGCCTGGCCGGTGTAGCTCAGTGGTTGAGCATTTACCTATGAACCAGGAGGTCACAGTTCAATTCCTGGTCAGGGCACATGCTCAGGTTGCAGGCTTGATCCGCAGGAGGGAATGTGCAGGAGGCAACCAATCAATGATTCTCTGTTACTGATGTTTCTATCTCTCTCCTTCTCTCCCTTCCTCTCTGAAATCAATAAAAAATATATTTTTAAAAAGAATGCAGCACACATTTGTCTTCAACATCACAATATGCACTTGCTTCATAGAACAGCTCCTGTGATTTGTTGGGCCCAAGGATCTCATTCATACTGATGGGACTCAAGATTATACAGAATGTGACTTTCCAAAAACAGCGGGGCACTTGGACCCAGGAGCAGAAAAGCAATCACTCTGAATGAGCAAGAGTGAAGGAGTGGGCTGGAGGGAGTGGGCAGCAGGACTGGATGTGGAGAAACTGTGAAGTCCATCCCCAGGTTGCTCTTGATCAGATAAGTCAGCTCTCCTCCCTGCCACTCCTCAGCCAACCTGCTGTGGAGGGTCAGTGCTTCAGGAAGGGGCGTGGCTCTGACATTGAGGAATGGCAGGGGTCACCCCTGGGCTGAAGCTTCAGATCTCTGCTGGGGAAACTCCATCAATACTAACTTATCCAAAGAAAAAATACTAGGATGTATAAGAAATCCTACAAAAAAAAAAAAAAAAAAAAAAAAAAAAAAAAAAAAGCAGAGAGAGTCAGAGGAAAGGGGCCATGGGTGGGCAGCAGAGCACAGAGAAGGGTGTTGGAAGCTGTCCATTGTCTTCACTAGCAGAAAGGTGTGGACAAGGAACCAGGAAGTCTGGTCAACCTTGAAGCTCTGAAAGGTCAGAGCCAACCACCCACTGTCTAGTTGAGACAATGGTAGCTGAAGCAACAGCCACCTTTTTGTTTTATGTAAGTTTTTGCCGACTGGCTATTATTGGAATTGCCTGCCTAAAGGCGATGGGTGTATCCCATAGTCTTAGTAAAAGGGATAGCAAGGCCAGAGCGGGGTGAAGTCCTTCTCCTTGAGTTGGGCTCCCGCCTGTCCCCCAATATTTCCAAATTAACATTTTCTAGTCTCTTTCATTTGTGTGCAGCCTCCGCCAAAGCCTGAACCCTGAACCTGAACCCTGCACTCGGGATGTGAAAGGGATTCACTGCAGAAGGGCCGCCCAGCAGAGGGGCTGCAGCCCTGATCTCCCAGGAGGCACCACTCCCACTCTTCCTGCACCTCCTTCCACCCCACCCCCAGCCATTTCTCCTGGGTCAGTGCTCTTACTCTGAGGCTCTTAGACTGAGGGAGAATAGAAACATTCTATTGCATGTACTAGCAACAAACCTAGAAATTCTCAGAAATATTGGAGGGAATTAATTATAGGAAAATATTGACATTCCTGCTTGTCAACGTAAGTGCACAGAGCATGGTAATTCTGAGTCAAGATACGCTGTGTTCTATATAATACGACATAATTTTTCTTCATTGATTTGCAAGGCTGGGCATATTAAACCCAGAGTGCACCCGGGTAACATTACAATTACTTTTGAATCTATTATTTTCTTCTCTGATAATGCTATAAACTAAGTAGGGCTGATATTTTAATCCTTTTTTTTAATATTGGGGAAATCACTGTTCAGAAAGATTTATGAGATTCAGAGTCTGTAATGATACCCCAGGAACTTATTGCTTTAATTGTATTTATTGTGAATTTTCTATTTAATTTAGGTATTTTGTATGTTTATTCATTTGTCTAAATTTCTGGTATTCATATGAATTTATATTGTCTGTCTTATTAATATAAATGCTTTAATTTAAAATAATAGATTATAGTAATAAAGCTTATCCTCTTTATAAAAATGATTAGGGATTAAATTTTCATTTGATCGTTAGCTTTTTATTGATTTTATTTACTTTTTTTTTTTTAATAGAGGATAAGACGTGTTCAGATCCATAGGATTATTTCTAGTTGCTTTAAAAAAATAAATAAATAGTAGAAGTAATTTCTCTAACTTCTCAGCCAGGGAGGAATCTTTCTGGGGAATATAAAGCAAGAATCTAGCATTTTTTCATTCACTTTCTAATAGTTGCTCTACCTAGTCTACAGACTAAACATTTTATCCATTTCAAGGGACTTGCTAAAAATCAGCACTGTACTATATAGAAGTCTTCTTCTTTCCAATCTGACAAGAGAGGTAAACAAGCTATTTTGAAGGATTCTACAACAAGGGAAAACTAATCAGAATGTTACCTAGAGGAGCAAAAAGTAGGAGATAACAAATACTACATGTTTAGCAAAGAGGAACGTGTTTAAATGAAAACCTCTTAGGCCAGTTCATATCATGTACAAAGTACTCCTGCCATCACGTATGAGGGTGAGAGTAGAGGTGTCTCTAGACCACCTTTTGTTCCGTTGGCCAGTAAACCAAGGGCTTTATTTAACTCCCACGTGACAGCTGCCCCTCCTTTCACACTGACACCAAACTGTCCTCAAGCCCTCTGGGGCAGCAGTGTCAGCCTTTTGCTTTATATTCTAGGGTTTGCAGTCCCTGTTGTATAGCTAACATTTCTAGAACAGCAGTAATGTACCAGCCACCATTCCAACTACTTCACAGGAGTAATTTCCTGACTCTAGTCACCACCTTATGTGATCTATACTGTGAACACCTTCATTCTATAGATGAAGAAACTGAGATACAGAGATTTTAAAGAACTCTTCAGAGCCACACAGCTGGGAATGCAAGTGAAGGCTTTGAATGCAGATACGGCTACACTCAACTTCTTTGCTGCGTTTCCCTAAATGCTGGAGGCTAATTTTAGGAGCACATTTTACTGCTCTAACATTTGAGCAAGTTGGCCATATTTATTCATTCATTTATCGCACATCATTTATTAGTAGTTTATGAAGATCCAGTACCATGTGAGACCCTGGATAAGCACAAGACCTTTCTCTCAAGGAGTGCGAGTTCCAGTGAGAAAGGCCACAATGACAGTGCTAGGTAGCAGGAGGCACAGCAGACCTGAGGCAAACAGAGGAGGACCTAGATCTCAGTGAGACAGGGAAACTTCCTAGTGGAGGGACATCTGAGAAGCAGATTTGAAAAACAGTAGGAGTGAGTTAAGGAAACTTCCTACCTAGCCAGTTTGCTCAGTGGTTAGAGAGCCGGCCTGCGCACTGAAGGGTCGCAGGTTCGATTCCAGTCAAGGGCATGTATTATACCTGTGTTGCAGGCTCAACCCCAGGCCTGGTCGAGCTTGTGTGGAAGGCAGCCAATCAACGCGTCTCTCTCACAGCCATGTTTCTCTTTCTCTCTCTCTCTCTCTCCTTCCCTTCCACTATCTCTGAAAATCAATGGGAAACATTATCCTCTGGTGAAGATGAACAAAACAAAGTAAAACAACAACAAAAAAGAGTGAGTTAGGTAGGGGAAGTACAGAGGGAATCCTAGGTAGTCATAGCAATACATGCAGGGGAAAGGAAGATTAACTCACAGGAAGGTGCTGGCAACTGCAGGGGCTGGGTTTGAACAGGCCAGCGGGGTCCACGTAGATGGGGCAGGAGGTGAGACCAGGAGCAGCCAGCTTACCATTCAGATGACATGTCTTCAGTGCTTGCTGTATGTGAGGCCCCGAGGCAGGGCTCAGCATTGATTCCTGCATTTAATCCTCACCACTGTAGAGTACAGAGACTGCTGCTATATGATTTTACACATGAGAAAACTGAGCCCCAAAGATGGTAAACTGATTAGGCAAAATCATACAGATGGGATCTGAGCCAAGTAGGAGTCTGGGATTCCTGCTATTTATCCCTGGTTATATTGACAAATTTATGCAGATTTTTGCATACAAGGCCAATGAGATTGACCTTTTTAGAGTCCTCCTGTAGCAGACACACTGAGACTGCCATGCACTAATGCAGACTTCCCTGTGCTAATTTATTTTATGCCTTATTTCAAAGTGCCCACTAATAACAGCTATCATTAATCCATGGCTTAGTATTTGCCAAATGCTACCTAATCTTGTATATTATTTCATTTGCTTTCTACCTACAGCAGTGGCATAGGTACTGATAACTAAGTGATGTAACTAGTGTCAACGTCCAAATTCAAACTCAGTTTCAGTGATTCTGAAGCATGCATTCATTTTTTATTTTATTTACTTTGCTATATTCCTTTTATTCAAGCATTACAATTTTTCCATAAACTTGTGTTGCAAGAAAAATATGCATTTGGGACTGAAATCTTGTGATCCATTCCAGCACTCAAGTTCTGAGGTGCGATTTAATTGATACTGCTCAGAGAAATGTGGAAAGCGCAACTATTAGTGCGTGATTTACTGTTGTTTAAACATTTATGATCTTGTTTCCTTGAAGCAAGTTCTCATCAATTTATAATGTGGTTTCCATGTAGCTAAGTAAGCAAAGTTTTAAAGTGACCCGAAGAGGCAAAGTTCAGAGATTTGCTATGTATAGCTACTTCAGTGACAATTAAATGCTTCTAATCCCTGCATTAGTTAGGAGCAAAGCAATTTTAAGTGTAGTCTGCATGTTTATAGGAAAACTTCAAATATTCTCTGAGACGCGCAGTGGTCTTTTTCTTAGCAAGACTCTTTGGTATAACAATCCCCATACTATAATTATTAAAGGAACTTAGTCTTGATTTGAACTTCAGATCCAGGATCTACTTAACTTAGTCTTTTTTTAATAAAAAATATAAAATGGATATAATGATCATAGCCACTTTACTGGAGGGGGTGGGGTGGGGATATCTATACTAATAAAAGGGTAATATGCTAATTATACCGGATAGACCGGATGTCCTTCCAGACAAAGCCACCATGGCGGGGGCTGTGGGAGAGGCAGTTAGGAGCAATCAGGCAGGCAGGCAGAGATGGTTGGGGCAATCAGGCAGAGAGGTTAGGGGTGATCAGGCAGGCCGGCAGAAGTGGTTAGGGCAATCAGGCAGGCAGGCAGGTGAGCAGTTAGGAGCCAGTAGTTCCAGATTGTGAGAGGGATGTTTCAGCTTGGAGAGGGTTCAGGCTGGGCTGAGGGGACCCCCCCACCCTCATGTACGAATTTCATGCACCGGGCCTCTAGTTAGGTAATAATGCATATCTTAAAAAAGCAAAAAGAAAACAACTCAGCTGAGCCTGATACAGAGTCCCTGTTCCACAAACTTCCCACTAACCCCTGGCATATGTTTCACCTTCTCCCTCATGTTCCCAAGCATAGTACTCCTACTCTAGCCAACTGTGGCTTCCATTTGACTTACAGCTATATTTTCAGTCCTATTTCTTTTCTTTTTTTTTCATCACCATTTATCCCTCCAGACTCTCTCCACCTCCACCCACCCCCTTACCCACATTATTTTCTTAAGTATAGATACATCTTTGCCACCTATACTGTTCTACCCATTCCTTTTACTAACTCATTATTATTTCAACGCTCACTTCAAAAGCCATTAAGGTTTTTGTTTCCTCTGAATATATTCTTATTTTATGTGTGCTTGATGTTTAATCCTAAGTGCCCATTAGAATATAAACAGATATAACTTTAAAATTGTCTTATGAAGGAGCACTAACTTGGGATCCTCCCCAATATGGATCTAATCACCGTTTTGACACCAAGGAACTTGGATGAGTTTGGGGAAGTCAGTCAATTGAGACCTCATTCCCAGAATCTGAAGAATGTAGGAGCTGCAACATTGTTTTCACTGACTTTGTAGATTGGAGTAAAAAATGTAGGATGTAGTAATTCCTTCTCTTAAAATACCTCACTCTCACAGATTCACCACAGGGAGTCTCACCTCTATGTCAGAATCAAAGGAAGTCCCAACAATTACTATTAATGATCAGTTAGCTCCATTTCATGTACTGTGGAGAGAACTGCCTGTAGCATGTAAAGGAAATGATGAAAGAGGGTAGCTTCCCTGCCTTGATTCTGGCACCAGAAAAGAAGCCCACACAGTGAGTAGCCTTTGCTCTGGGCAATATCTTAGGAACCTAGAGATGAGCAATCTGCACTGCCGCCCCAACGTACGTGGGATGCAGGTTAGTCCTAGGGAAAAACTGAGAAAAATTTGGTTTCCTCTTTTTCTGCTCTTCATAACCCATTGTCTGTGGGTAATTGTTAATATCTGGCTCCAAACTAAAGTGGATTATAAGAGATTTAAGCCAACTGAGGATAAGAATAGAACCAGACATCCTCCATCATTTAGTAAGTAGTTCAGCTAATCTAGGACAAGTTAATGAACTCCTCTGTGCCTTAGTTGCCACATCTCTGAAGTGATGTAAAGTTATTGTAAGAATAAGAGGATAATATATGTATAATATTTAGGAGATAGGAAGCACTCAATTATTGTTAACTAGAAGCCCATTGCACGAAATTTGTGCATGGGGAAGTGGTGTCCCTCAGCTCAGCCTGCACCCTCTCCAAACTGGGACCCCTTGAGGGATGTCCGACTGCCCGTTTAGACCCAATTCCAGTGGGATCTGGCCAAAACATGCAGTTGGACATCCCTCTCACAATCCAGCACTGCTGGCTCCCAACTGCTCGCCTGACTGCCTTCCTGATTACTCCTAACCGCTTCTGCCTGCCAGCCTGATCACCCCCTAACCCAGTGTTTCCCAACCTTCTCTCATGATGAGAATCACCTGGTGGAGTTGTTAAAACACAGATTCCTGAATCCCAACTAAGAAGTGCTAAACTAGAATTTTTGGGAACATATAGGTAAAATTGTATACTTAACTAGTGCTCTAAGACAGATTTTATATACAGAGCACTAAGTTAGGTATGCAATTTTACCTATATGTTCTCAAAAATTCTAGTTTAGCACTTCTTAGTTGGGATTCAGGAATCTGTGTTTTAACAACTCCACCAGGTGATTCTCATCATGAGAGAAGGTTGGGAAACACTGCCCTAACCACTCCCATGTCAGCCTGATTGATATCTAACTGATCCCCAGCCAGCCCGTTTGTCCCCAACTTCCCTCCTCTGCCAGCCTGTTCACCCTAACTGCCCTCCCCTGCAGGGTTGATCGCCTTCAACTGCCCTCCCTTCCAGGCCTGCTCCCTCTTAACTGCCCTCCCTTGCAGGCTTGGTCCCTCCCAACTGCCCTCCCCTGCTGGCCATCTTGTGTCCACATGGGGACAGGATCTTTGACCACATGGGGACAGCCATCCTATGTGTTGGAGTGATGGTCAATCTGCATATTACTCTTTTATTATTGTAGATAGGATTAGTAGTAAGAATAAGGGCAGTAATTTTCCTTCACACCTGTCTTTCTAATTGCTATCTTATTCAGCAATACCTTGCCAGAAATCTTGATCTGTTTCCAAGCTACTTACCTTTATGAAGAAACCTTCATCATTGATTTTTATTTTATCACAACCAATAAGAAAACACTTCTCATGTCACTATAGTAGTTTTTTAACATCTCAGACAATGCTGGCACTTTACTCATATCTAGCTATTAGATCTGTCAAACTGGCCAATGGAGCTAACACTTTAAGTTTTGAGTCTAAAAGGTCACCACCCTGAGTATAAGTATACATACATGTAAAGATTTGCTTATTCATTTGAGCCAACCAACAATGTAGTCAGTGAACATGGTTAACATGGGTGATATAAGGCACAGTGACTTACATTTTATGGCTAGCTGGAAATGAGAATGAAACTGAGGTTGACAACCTTTTTGATCTGGGTCCCCCAAATTCACGAAACCAGTAAATGCATGATGTGCTAAAATCTTGACTTGGATGAATGTATGTGGGGGGATAAATCCATAGCTGAATTCCTCAGCAGATACATTAGTATTGAATATATACATTACTAGAGGTCTGGTGCATGCAAATTCATGCACTGAAGTGGGGGGATCCCTTAGCCCATTCTGCCCCTTCTCACAGTCCAAGAGCCCTTAGGAGTGGGAGGTGACCAGGCAATCAGGGGAAGGCGATGCCCTCATCACACCTCTGCTGCTGCCACTGCCGGCAGGGCAAGCCTCAGCTGGCCCTGGTTACTGAGCCTTGGGCAGACACCATCCGAGGCATGCCTGCACCTTGGGCTGGCCCTGGGGGGCTAGGAAGTTGAGGGGACTGGGGAACTCTTAAGGTAGGTGCACGGCAAGGCCGGGCCTGCTTGGGGGTGGGCCTGGCCTTGCCACACCTGCCACCCCAGCAAGGCTGAGGGGCGTAGGTGACACCATCTTATGGCTGTGGACACCGCCATTTTTGAGGGCAGGGCAGTCAATTAGAATATTCCCTCCTTATTGGCTGTGGGCACCACCATCTTTGCAACAGTGTGATGGTCAATTAGCATATTCCCTCTTTATTAGGTCAGATAAGTACAAATTTGACTTTCTTTTGGCATCAATGAAGAACTTATAAAGATGAAGAGTGTGATACTTGTAGGTTATACTTTGCATAATGGTCCAGGGAAGACTAATAACCTAGACCTTAAGATTTATTTTCTTAAACTATACCATCTACAAAATATTTTCTGACCTGCAATGTTTTTGTTGTCCCTACCTTATTTATCAGTGTTGTTTCTTCTATTACCAAGCAAACCAGGAACTTATGTATAAATTTAAACTTTTACCCCATATCTTTATGCAATAAGAAACTAGTGCCATGTTTTTGTTTTGTTTTTCTAGACAAAGAGACGAAAAGAAGTCAATATACTTGAAATCTGTGTTAAAGGGGAAGTGTTATTATTAAGACTCAGAACTTGTTCATTGAGAGTCCTTTACTTATTTAACATAAACACACCAAATTCCACGTTTAAAGGAGATCTTTAGGTTTTCTTATCCTGGCTCTTCCAGATTCCACATCATTTCTCTCAATGTATTCTACATGACATTTTCTTTTCTGGAGGCAAAGCAGTAATGAGAAACAGACTTATAGGCTCTGTCATAGTCAATGACAAGCTTAAAGGCAAGCCACTCTTAGATTTTTAATTCTTGTTCTTTTTAAACATCTAAATGTATTCACTTCAAAAGAATAACATTCTAAAGGGACAGGCTCTTTTGTTTGCTGTATCTACAAACTAAATAACATCTAATCAGTTCTTAATTTAAATGTAAAAAATGATGACACTTTATAATTTCCTTCTGCTTACCATTCATTTTATTTAATATTGGTATTTTTAGCAAACATGGTTTTGAATGTTCAATATCCTTCTCTTAATCAGAGATATCGGAATTTCCTTGTGTTCTTTGAAATAAGCATGAAGAAGCAAAAATTTAAAAATATCTCTCTTTTGTAGAACCCAGAAGCTTTTGCTTTCACAATTCTTCTTAAAGGCTTACAAAACTCCAAATATTATGGCTGACCTTAGAGCTGAGGAATGGCAATGCAGCAGAAAGTAATATAAATTCTGTTCATCAGTTATGAGCATGTTAGTCTGACAATGATGGTGGCTTTTGTGTGAGAATGCTGAATTTTAGGGAAGCATCAGAAAGTCAACAGACTATTTGCCCATGAGCACATTAGCATGCACTCCTTTTCATTGCCTTTATCTCTCCTCCCCCGTTTTCTCTCTCTTTGTTCAGAAAATCAGTGATAATATCTTTCATGTATACAACCTTTTTCATGTCAAGGAATCCCTAGCATTTTGCAAATCAAACACTTATATATACCTCATCTATATATAATAATTTCTATGCTTCAATTAAATAGAAACCTAAAGCAAACAGCTAATTTCTGCTCCCGTTCTGGGGCTGACCAGCAGACTCTGAGAGACAGATGAATGATTACTCTGGCACATGTTTCTGTGAAAGAGAGGGCTAAGGGACTGCCTGGCTAAAGGAACCAGACAGCCCCATTCACCTGCCTCCTTAGGCTTTTATTGTAACAACAGCTTGAACTAAAATTAACTATTAGATATTATCAATAGGGTAAGTATTCTTGAGAAAAGACATGTATCTATAGTATCTTTCAGACAAGGACATTTTGATGACTAAATATAAAGATTCCAGTAAAACACCTGGGTGCTCAGACTTGTTTGGAAAAGTCAAGGCAGTGTCTGCTGCCTTCAACAAGGTCCCCCTAGAATAAGGTGACCAGACATCCCACTTTTGGCAGGACAGTCCCGATTTTTAACAATTTGTCCTGTGTCCCTCAGCGTTTTAAAAAAAGTCCCAATTTTTGAAAAGAATGCACAACAAGATAGGGAATGGGGAGAGAATAGGAAGGGAATATATGGTTTTTGGTGGCCACATGGCTATTTAGCTAGGATATGAGTTTTATATTATTTTTGTTAATTTTATAATGTTAAACTTTAAGAATAACAAATAATTGTTAAGAATTGATTATTGAGAACTGTTTATCAAATTTGCATTGTTGATCAGTTGTTAGAATTCACTCAAATGAGAAATATGCCAAAGAATAAAAAATACTATACATAATTTTTTATTTATTATATTTGTTAATTGTACTTATGTTGAAATTAAAAAATATATATTACAATATTATTTTTGCATTCTATGAAAATTTTTGTTGCTCCATATAGACCAAATTTTTAATCAACCCCCCCTTGCCCCCGTCAATGGTGTCCCAATTTACCAATGTTAAAATCTAGTCACCTTACCCTAGAGGCCTCTGACCTTTAGGAGAATCCTCCTTATAGACTTTCCAACCAAGTCCCATGCTTCTCCACACTTCTGAGCATGTTGACTTTTGAGGACTGACAATTCTAATTGTGGTCCTCACAAAGCAAGTGCAGGATCTTCCCTGGCACCAAAACAGTCCCAAAGAACTGTAATGAGAATGAAGTGGTCAAATGGCTGCTTTTGATTATAATAGTTTGGTATCTTTCTCAATGTGATGACACAAAGGCTGAGTTTAAAGGAGGACCACTCATGTGATATTTAAATATATTCCATCCATATATTTAAATTAATTAAACTGATATTCTGACTTTCTTTACCATCTGAATTTGAATTAATTAAACTGATATTCTGACTTTCTTTACCATCTGACTTTCTTTACCATCTGATATTTATATATTTATATATAAATATCTGAAAACAAGATGCCAAAAGGAAAGAGAAAAGTAAATTTCAGTGTTAACATTGTGTTTCTTTTTTTTCTCCTATAGCTGAAGTAAAAGACACATTCACAGTTCTACTTAAGAAGTTGATGGGTAGAATTTATTTGTGCTTAAGATCATCCAGGTTTTTTTTTTTTTTTTAAATTTAAGCAAATATTCTGGAACCTTTGAACACAGATATTTTAAACATAAATTCTGATTATCATACTTATTGTGAGATGATGTTATTTGTACACTTCATTATGGTTGAATGCTTTGAAGCACAAAATTATCAAATCCACAGAGTAAGAGTATAAGAGCTCTTCTGAGCTCAGATTAATCATTACTCATGTGGAAAACCACTTACCCCCTCTGAGATTCCAACATGTTGGTCAAGGATCATGTTTCTTTCTCTTCCTCAAACATGTCAATAGAAGTCAAAACTCCAGCTGCTATCTTTAATTACCTGAACAAAAATCTATTATGTGAGTAGTTCAAGTTTTAATCTATCCCCTGTTATGATACTAAAGTGTCAAGAGAAAAACATGTGATTCCGAGTACAATATACAGTCTGGAGAAGCTGCTTAAGAGGTAGATTTGCTAATAGATTTTGAAAACTGATCATTTGAACACTAGAGAGCATTCGGAGCTTCTTCTGTGACTTAATCAGTTTCATTTTTATTGTGGAATGTATTTCAGGTGGTTATTGATTTGTACCTCCCTTTTCATATTGCTCACATTGGAGTCAATTTCTTACTTTAATGATAATAATGTGAAGAAAGCACTCCCTAGCTTTGGCCGGGCTATTTCTCAGGAGAGCATTCTAGTCTGCCCCGATTTTTCCTGTTTGTTGCAATGTAGTGCTCTTCTACTCGATACTATTGCGAAATTCTGAGAATTGTGTCATTTTTTCAAGTTATTCACCGAATTTCTATGTATGATTTTAAAACAGCTGTCTCTATCTAAATGCCAGAGAGGAAAACATGGCTTCATTTGACATGAATAATACAATTATGTGTTAAATAAAAATATGGGTCTTTCAAAGACACTAGTGAGTTCCCAAACAGCTATGCTAATGGTCTGTGACTGGGAGTTGACATTTTTACCAGTTTATTTGTAATACCATGTACTAACCTGGTTATTATTGAGCAGGAAAGGAGTAAAAGGGAAGGGGGCTGGATAATATAGGCATGCCATTTATACAGCTTTGCCAAAAAGCTGCATTTAACACTCCCCTATCTATTCCCCAGTGATGGAGGGGGGAAGGGACTGGACAAAGGCAGTTTAGATGCATGCCCCATAAGGTCTGAGTGGTGGGGGAAGATGCTTGCCCATCAGTCACTCCTAGGAACAAATTAGTGGCCAGAATGTGCAAGTATGGCAAGCACAGGAAACCTGAGCATTTAAACTTCTAGACAAAGAAACACGCTTTCTTCTCTCTCTGGCACTCTGGGTTCCTGTCTATCCTGCGGCAGGGTTGTACACTCCTCTGTGTCCACATGACACATGGCCACGCGGAACTTCACACAATGGACTAATGACTTTAATTAGCTGAGTTACATTTGGCTGCAACATGGGAACAGAAACTCTGGACACTGGTCTTGCTTTTGGCTTTGCTGACCCCACAGCTGCCCCTCCTTCAGGACTGGCTTAAGTGAGTTGGCTCTTTGGAACCCGGGAAATGTAACTGCACACAAATAAAGCCTTTTTCTACATCTCATTCTCCCGTGTGGGATTCTGAAAATTCTTATTTCAGTCGACCCCAAAAACCTCCCTCCCATGAGCAGCATGGGAAGCTTGGTTCTCTGGTAACATTTCAATTCTCAAACTTTGATTTATTTTTTTATTTTTTATTTTTTCACTTCATGTCATGTCACTTTTTCAATATCCTGTTCAAGTAAAAAACTACAAGACTTTCTCCAGTACCAGTTTAATCTTGTGACTCATGTCAGGGTTTCCAATATGAACTGTCTAACCCCATAGTTTCTCCTAATCCTTCATGAGAATGACAGTGTGAAAGGGCTTCTAGACCCAATTCCAGTGTGTGTGTGTGTGTGTGTGTGTGTGTGTCGAGGCAGTTCTCTGACACCAGCAGGTATGTTGGAGAATTAACTCGATTCTGATGTTATCTTTCCGGAGATAGATCAGATCTCATCGTTTTCAGCTCAGTCCCATAGGATTTCCTCTGCTTCAGACACCAGTTTCAAGCCCAGATTGTTTCCTGTGCCTATGACCTCTACCTTGGGTTTGATTTATTTGCTAGAACGCCTCACAGAACTAAACACACACACACACACACACACACACACACACACACACACACAAAAGCCATTTACTCACCAGATTTATTACCAGGATATCAAACAATACTAAGTAACCTTGTGGTTCAAAAAGAGCGACATAGCAGACCCGACAAGCTCAGGCTGCTACATGACAGGCCTGGCAAGCTCAGTGACAGAGAGTGACCACACAGGATGGTCTCATCATAAATTCCTAACTGGGCAGATTATGGCAAAGTCACATCTCAGGCCTATAACTCCCTTAGCAAAGGTCAGACGTTAGCTCAGGAAAGCACTGTCCATTGTTCTTATGCATTTAGTATAACATACCTTTGAAATGCCAGAGTAATTTTTCCCCCCAGAGCCCTAGGGCGAAACTACATGCACCAAGCACAGAGACCACAGAAACCCTCATTGTTATCTTGTTCCCCATGTACCTGTACCTTCTCTATGTGCTGGAAATGTCAATTATTCTGTACCCTCCATTGTCAGAGAAGTAAGTGTCTTTCCATTTTCTTTTGTAACTCTTAGAGATTTCCCCGCTTTTCCTGCTCTTTCATATTTTACCACCAATAGATTTCATGTAACCTTCCTAACGTTTTCTCCTTTAATTCTAAATATATAAGCGCGAGCTTCGAAACTGCCATTCTCCAGAGCATTTCTCAATCAGCTGAGATTTTTGCCTCCAAGCATGTCCTCAAAACTTGCCTCATATAAATTCTTATGAAGCGTTCTACAGGTTTGGAAGTTCTTTCCTGGACAACAGCCGGATAAAGAGATACATACATATAGTGTTCCAACTCACCCTCAGATGGGAACGTATGCATAGGTGACTGGGGTCCCTCAGCCAGAAACTGGACTTATACGGGTTGCCCACAGTTCTTACTAAGTTTGACCGAGCATAAACTGAAAACAAGAGACAAACATTTAAGATGCACAAATCACACGGTTTATTTACCAGAGTCCTGGTGGTTTCCAGAAGTCTAGGCAGGTCACCTGGAGATCCATGCCGACAGACACACACACTAGTCAGGAACATGGTGCAGCAGCGCTTTGGTCACAATTGAGGCCTCAGAGATTCAGCTCATGGGCAGAGTACCAGCATACTCTGGCAGAGCTTCAAACAGGAGCAGGAAGAGAGTGGAGAGCACATCAGGTGGAGAAGCCTTTCATGGTCTCTGACCAGTCCTTTTAGTTCCCTTCTTTTATGGCCAATTGTGGGTGTTCCCTTGTTCCTTCTGGGTGTAACCAAGGGGTCTTCAGTGTGTCTTATCAGGGGTCTCACAAGCAGCATTATCTGGCACATTGCTACTTGTTTACAACTTTAGAGATTAACATATGTTAGGGCGTTCACATCTGGTGTAAGCATGTTTACAACTTTAAAGATTAGCATCTGTTAGGGCTTTCACACGCACTCAGGGTTACAACTTCAAAACAACTTCAAAATATGCACTCTAAGTTTTAAAATGGAGGTAGTTATGCTAAGTTTAAATCACACAAGGTAAACACTTTCACTTAAGTTTAAATCACACACTTATAACTATAACACATAGGTACCTGGAAGGGGCTAGAACTCCCATGCTTTCTCCATGCATCTCCACATATTCAATAACTCAAAGCTCTCTGAACCCTGTCCTTTTTGGTTTTTATGAGTTCTTCATTACGCTGTCCTGATTGATCCAATTATTGGCTGCTGGCAATTGATTCAACCCCTCAGTTCCTCTCTACCCTTCTCTCCCCCAGAGGTCAGGTCCAGGGTGGGATTAAAACAGCCAGTTCCCACCTGTAGGCTGTATCCAAAAAAAAAAAAAACCCACTTCATTAACATAACAGTGGACTTTTATCAGTCTCACTTAGGAAATTCCTAGGATTTGAGAGTTATGAGCCATAAACAGGGATGTAGACCAATTATTTATCCTATATCATAAAGAGCTAATATACTAATTAGACCCAACTGCAGAACGACCTTCCCATGACCTTCCCAGATAAAGCTGAGCTGAGAGGCTGGCCAGGACTGAGAGGGGCATCTGCATGTCCCTGAATCTTGATTGATTGATTGATTTATTTTTTCCCCTTTCCAAGTGATTTGTCATGACATAAAGCTGCTAAAGAAAAGTTTTACAGTTTCTTTTCCATTCAGAGGGCTGAATTTCTAGGTCACATGGTATCTTTGGTTTGACCCAGAAGCTGTTAATGAGTCAAAGTCCCCCAAGAAAATAACCAACTTGACCTTAAGAGACATGTAAAATAAGGCAAACGTGAGTAAAAATAGCTAATATTTATTGGATTCTTTGCTATATGCCAAGCAGTATTCTAAGTTTTTTACATATGCTAAATTAGGGGTGTCGAACTCAATCAGAGAAGGGGCCAAAATCTAAAATCCAGCCTAAATCGCGGGCCAAATGGTTTACTGAACAGTCATAAACTGTCATTGTGATGGAAACGCAGCGGAGTGCAGTGATGACAGCACGGTGCGGGCCACATTGCAAGGCCTGGCGGGACGGATTTGGCCCGCGGGCCTTGTGTTTGACACATGTGTGCTAAATCATTTAGTTCTCATCACAATAAACTTGTGAATAGAGAGGGTATCACATACATGCATGTATTCATAAAGAGACCAAATGTGTTACAGAACAGAAAGATTTCATTCACCTGGCTCTAGCAACACTAAACACTGAGAATTGCAGTGGACAAATATTGAGTATTTATTATAAATGGCTCCATGCAGGAGAATGGAAAGCTAATGCTGAAAAGCACAAACTTCCCAATGGTATATAGTGAAATATGGTAGCAATCAGACTTGGTTAAAAACTGCTGTTTGAATTTTAACCTTGCTATCTGACTTCGACCTTCGATTACTTGCTTAAACAATAGGGTAGTTGCAGGAGATTGATTCCCACTGACTCAGTAGCTTCATGGGTAGAAACTATAGATAACCTTTAGAGATTAACCTCTGAGTTCTGCTTTTGTATTATGGGCAAGATAGGGCCATATTCCAATGTTCCCAGCCTTTAGAATTTAAAATAAAGGGAAATTCCTGTGGTTTGAAGTTTTAAAAGGAGTTACCTAAACCTAGATCAGTGCAGTTGTGTGGTGCTCCCTTGGCCGTCCTGGCCAGTTTTTCAATAAATCCTTGCCTGCTTTTTTTAATCAATCTTCAGCCTCCAGTGGTCTTATTTTGACCCAGGGTTCGACCCCACAACATGTAGGTCACAGATTATGGAGGGCAAAATCACCAGACATCTTGGGTTAGGAGTTCCGGGTTATACTGGGAAGCTGGTTGGTCAGAGGAGAGGTAAGAGTGATAAATAATTTATTCATGTCTTTTTCAAAAAATTAACTACAGAGATAAAGGAAGAGGGAGAGAGAGAGAGAGAAAGAGAGAGAGAGAGAGATTAATTGTTCCACTTATTTGCACATTCATTGGTTGAGTCTTGTATGTGTCCTGACTGGGGATCAAACCCACAACCTTGGGGTATTGGGATGAAGCTCTAACCAACTCAGCTATCCAGCCATGTATTCAATTCTAAGGGCTGCTTTGGTGTCCCTCTGACTGTCTGCTTTCATAGGAAAATAATCAGGGGTCATTCTACCTTAGGGCTCACAACTTAAGTCAAAACCTTAACTTTAGTCTGTCAGAATTCCAGACACTGTGGACATTAGTCAGGTCATAGCTATTGTCTTCTGCTGCTTTGAAGGTTATTCATTATCTGGGAGAAAGGCTAAGTCTCGAGGGGTAGATACAGAGAGATAGAGATATCTATCTAGATGTAGAGATATCTATTTCTAGAAGCAGTAGCTCAAATTGATACCATCCCTTCCACACAATTCCAGGTACTCATGCATCTCTTGAAGCCTATTCAAGAACTTTTTTGGGCGTCCTGGCATCCCAGTGAAAGGGCTAGCTAGCTAGCTTAATTAGGCAGGTTTAGGGAGCCATAAAGATAAAGGGGGGGTGGGGTGAGGGTCTCTGGGGAAGGAATATACAATGGAGACTTGAAGATGCCAGTGTGTTTATCTTACTTGTACAAAGAATATATTAATAGAAATGCCACAGGCAATAGAGATATATCTGGCCTGTGCAATTAAAACAGCCATAAACCAAAAGGAATCCTTGGCCTGAGCAATTAAAGTGACCATCAGTTAGGCCAAAAGTAGCCCTGACCTGAATAACTGGGAAGACCATTATCTGTCAACACAACTTGGAGAGCTATGAGATAAATCAAAAGTGACTCCAGCCAATAAGATAAGGGGGAGAGAAAATGGAGGACACCATGTGGGCTTTGAGCTTTGGAAGCTAATTCTATGCAGCAGCACGACCAATTAGAAGAGATCTGGTTCAGACAAAGAACTGCAGCTTATGTAATGCCTCTAGACAAAGAAAGCAGCTGTCACCTTTCTTAGGGGCTCCTCTGTCCATCCAGGAGGAACAGAGTCTTAGGCTGAGAATTTAGAATTAGGTGTTAGAGGTAGTGTCTGCTCCCAATAAAGTTTCTGTCCTTTTCACCTATCACCTTTTGTCCGTGATTTCATTCTCAGAATCCATCAGGACAAGAACCAGGGAATTCGGGGCCTTCCAGTTCAATTTTCGCATTTCACCAGGTTAAGAATCTCTGTTCATTACAGCTTGGGGAATTTCCATGAGTTTTTTCTAAAGATTTGAAAAAGAGAGATGTTGTGGCCCCTGTAATTTGAAATAACATTTCCAATGTTCCACAGTAGTGCTTCCTGTGAGATTGCCCTGAGCTTCTGATATTGGAAAATTCACCAACTGAGTCAACCAAGAACCATGTAAGCTTTCTAAAACAGCCCCCTGCTTTCCTGGTGGAATCCACAGAGTAGGTTGCCTGTGGTATTTTTTAAATAATGTAGAGAATATTTGGAGGCCAGATCACAGATTACACATTAAAATGAGTCATGATGGTGTCTCAAAGCCATAGAGACACAGCCATGAGGGAAATCAGAGCTTCTGCAAAGCGGCGTGTATGTTCTGATACGTCATGCTCTCCGAACAGAAGTGAGGGATGAGGAGCCAGGTCTCTGCTCATGGAAAGACTACCTTCAATTCTACTGGGAAGGGGACTC